GCGGTCAGTCAGTTAAAAAAACAAAACAAAATAAAATAAAACAAAACTTGAAGTTACTTTCATCCATTAATGCCGTCTAGCTAAATTGCTGTTCTGGAACACACATGTCAACCACGTGTAAAAGTTCTACTTTCGTTTTGAGAATCGGGTCAATTATTATAATAGTACATTCTGTGTAAATTTTGTAAAATTAGAAATAGTTTTGTACAGAGATTATAATGTTTTTTTTATTCCATTTTCTCCTTGTCGGAGACCTTTGTATAAACAAACAGTACAGGCTGGGCGCTTACCGACTTGATTATGCTTTTTAGAACAAAAAAGGGGGGGGGGGTGAAATACTGTCAACTTAAAACTGATACGCGCAAGGTTGATTCTTTAGTTTTATGTTTAATAAGTCATACATGTTATAATTACTTATTACATATTTTTTATATACATGAATAAAATTATTTTAGAGAATCAATGAACGATACCAAATTCAGAACTATAACATTTATTCATGAGTGCGATAAACAACGTCATGTTACTGTCATTCAAAATTCATAAAAGATTTTTTTCATGGATTCTGAGCGATGTGGAGTTTAATTCCCTGTTTCTGAATTGTGAACAGTTAATGCTAATATAATTTCAATAATTGATTTCACTAAACAATCTATTTTTTTTAATTTATATGTACATTTTGCATAATGTTTTAATTATAAGATGAAGTCAAATGTTCCGTATCAATTTCTCGTCTCCGTTTCACGGGCCCCAAACCATCGTTAACAGAGATTCAGAATTGAAAATACATGTAGCCCCCTCCCCGGGATTTTCTTTTAAATTTTTCTCAAGCATTTCAAGAAATGTGCATAAAACTAACAAATAAAATTAAATACTGAGCAAAGATAGATTTATGTGAATTCAAATAATTATTGAATATTAAGTCTGTACAATGTATATGTATATAACTTCATTTCTTTCTTTTTTATCTTAGCACTGCAATGTCCTATTTTGCTAAATAGTTTTTTTTTCAATTTTCAATTTTATTCGTCAACAAATTGAATATTACAAGATATTTTTTTTTCCGTGCGACCGTAAAGATTTTCCTGCTCAAAGAAGAAAGTACATGTACAGTGTAGGTAGTTTGTTTATTATGTACACCGGTGGTCGCAGACGAGGAACAATAAGTAATAAGTGCCCATTGTTACGCTGACCACTACAATTTACATGGAATATACAAGTTGTACCCCGTTCTACCCCGGGGCGGAAGACTTGTACGCAATACAGCCAAATCAGAGACTGATCTTCGATTTTTGATCAATGAAGATCAATTTATTAAGTAAACATATTATACTAGGTCTCATTTCTTATTTCACATTCCATAAATTAATGAGATTTTAAAAATTATTAAATAAAAGTTTTTCGTGTCATGAAATTTTAAGAGACCAACATCAAAATAACATAAACACGTGTGCACCTTCGCTCTGACACTGCACTAATTTTTAATCAGCCCCCAATCTGCCGGTTGCACATGTATGTATCGTGCACATGTAGATGTAGACTGAAGAGATATTCTGGAAGAATCTAAAATGCCTATATTACGTTCAAATGAATGAATAAATAAATAAATAAATAACTAAATAAATAAATAAATATCTTTGCCTCTAGATTGAACATATTCACCTCTGTTTTCATCTCTTTATTAAATTTAAATATGCATAAAATTTCTAATTTTCGAGCAAATTTTCAAATATCTTGACAGAGACCAGAAAACCAAACATTTGAAAATGAAAAAAAAAATAAATAAATGTCTTTGAGAAAGAAAAAACAAAAATAGCTATATGAAAGGTCATCTTTAAAAAGAAAATGTCGTCCTCTCTTGACCAGTTGACGGAGTGAAACCGTGCGAATCTGTTAATCAAACTTTTCTAATCTGCAGGAAATATTTTTTATCCCAAATTTTTTTCCCACCCATTAAGAACTATTTCTTATTATTGAAAAAAAAACATCACCGACCTCCCTACCCAAATATCTTGGAGTCGGGAGAGGGCGGCGATAAATCTTTTTAAAAGGATAGCCTTATTTTCTTTTTATTTACAGTACATTAATAAAATTCCATTTATCTTGCTTACAGATAAATTATACTATTTTCATAGATTGGTAGAAAACATTTGCTTAATATAGGCGGAAGGTTTCATTTATTTATTGTCAACATTTTCACAACCGTATTGTAGTAAATGAGATTAGTGTAAATTTTGTCACTAGCAGAACATTTAAAGAAATATCAAAATGTTGTAATGATAATTTATAATTAAAAGAAAGAAATAATTGAAGGTTTTTACAGCCCTCAGTTCTTCTTTAGCCCTTCCCAGCTTAAGAACAAAGACCACAGTAATTATCAGCTTAATATAGGCGGAAGGTTTCATTTATTTATTGTCAACATTTTCAAAACCGTATTGTAGTAAATGAGATTAGTGTAAATTTTGTCACTAGCAAAACATTTAAAGAAATATCAAAATGTTGTAATGATAATTTATAATTAGAAAGAAATAATAAGAAAGAAATAATTGAAGGTTTTTACAGCCCTCAGTTCTTCTTTAGCCCTTCCCAGCTTAAGAACAAAGACCACAGTAATTATCAGTAAATCTCAGCATCGACAGCACATCAACAGTATTTATCAGACTCAACAGTAAAGACCACAGTAATTATCAGTATTTATCAGAAACAACTAAAATTATCAGCAACGACATTAATAATAACAGTAAATATCAGTTTTTATCAGCAAGAACAGCCCCGTATCAGTAATTATCAAACATTATCAGTAAAATTTGGGATTCTCAGCACATTTTTCGTCCAGTAGTGTAAGAAAGGAGTTTATCATATGTGTTCCCCTTTATCTCGTGGATATCACTCATTTTTTCATATCCCACTGTTGTGACGTCACAATGGGTTTTTATTCAATGTTGTCGTAAGAAAGAAGTAAAATCCAGGCTTTTGGTATCATTGACAGCTGCCTTTTCAATAAAAATGGAACTCGTAGATTTACTTACCTTGTCATTGGTCATTTGCAAAATTATTTTGTTAAAAAACTTTCTGAAGTTGACATTAAAAAGATGCTTGAGTTTCTGATTGACAATATCTATGTAGTTTTTGGAGACCAGGTCTTCCAACAATCTATTGGAATTCCCATGGGTACAAATTGCGCCCCGTTATTTGCAGACCTTTTTTTGTATTCATATGAAGCAGAATTTGTCCAAAATCTTATACGTGAAAAGAAGAAAACACCTGCTGTGGCCTTCAACTCGACATTTAGATATATCGACGACGTATTGTCTATAAACAATTGTTATTTCCATTCTTATGTCGATATACCGTTCACGGTAGCTCAGTCGGTTGAGCGCTCGCTCCGTGATCGGGAGGTCGTGAGTTCGAATCTCGGCCGCGACAGACCTAAGTCGATAAAAAAATAGGTAGCAACTGTTCCTTCGCCATGCACTCGGCACTTTGGAGTGAAAGTTGCGGGTCTTTCGGATGAGACCTTAAAAACCGAGGCACCGTGTCACGGCAGGCGTTGGCACGATAAAGATCCCTCACTGCTCAATGGCCCTGAGTGCCGAGTAAAGGTCAAAATTTGAAGCCCTTCACCGGTATATGGTGACGTCTCTATATGAGTGAAAAATTCTCGAATGGGACGTAAAACAATATACAATCAATACAATCAATCTTATGTCGATACGATATATCACGGTGAGCTTGAGATAAAAGATACTACAGAGTCTGACACATCTGTTTCATATTTGGATATTTTACTTGAAAAAGACGTTAATGGTAATCTAACAACCAAGCTTTATGATAAACGTGATGACTAACTTTTCAATCGTCAACTTCCCTTACTTATGCAGCAATATACCTTCATCACCTGCATATGGGGTTTACATCTCTCAGTTGATTCGATACGCAAGAGCATGCTCTACGTATGTACAATTTCTAAAACGAGGTAAATTATTGACAAACAAATTGATAAAAGAAGAATATCAGCAGTCTCGTTTAAAGTCATCATTTCGTAAGTTCTATGGTCGATACAATGGCCTTGTCAGCAAATACAATTTATCATTGAGTCAAATCCTGACTGACGTTTTTCATACTAAGTGTTAGGCCTTTATTTACACACTGAATTGTCGACGGATTTTTCTGTTATTTCCCGATCATGACAAAGAGCACACGGCGGGTGTGACTGGTCGGCAGGGTATGCTCACTCCTCGATGGCACCTGATCCCACCTCTGAAATTTTGGAGGTCCGTGTTTGCTCTGCACCTATTTTGTAATGTTTAATGGACTTTTGAACTTGAATACTGTTCGTTATCTCCATATATTTCATACAAAGTCTTTTTGAAATCGAGCAGAAATCATCAATTAGGAATTTATTTTGAATTGCGATGCTATACTTCCGTATCATACATAGAGAATAATACATACCCTTTTCCATGTAACATCCTGTACCTGTATCAGCCCGAGCCACCAATATCAGACAGAGGGCCGAGGGCTGATTTTGGTGTCTCAGGTATTATGTATTCTTCTCTGTTATACACTGTTGAAGCATGAGCATTTATATACTTCTCGAATGAACGTGTAAATGTGAATAAATAAAGGAAAAAGTAATGAAAATAGTTTGTTGTACATAAATATGTTTATATATACAACATAATTCTGGTATTTTGGTAACTTGTTTTATCTGAATTTCGGAAAGAAAAGAGGTATAGGTTTTATTTCTTTATATGCAAAACTTTACTTTCTAACAGAAATCGGCTGGGTTGTCAAACATGGTTAAAGTAGAGTTGTCAAATGTTTTTAGCCATTATATTTTTTCAGATGTTGTGTTAAAAATATTGTGGAAATATGATACACACATTAAAAAGAAATATGAGAGGGACTTTGACTCACGATAAATGTATACATTTTACCTACTCAAATTTAAAAACTAGTCTAACAATAGATGCCGTTATTGTGTGGGGAAAGGAGCTATGATGATTCTTCTGTGCGTTTTCACATTGATCGTCTCGTCTTCAGAAGGTAAGCCTAAAAAAATATTAAAAGAGTGTTTCTAAAGAAAAAAAACTAGTTCATTAAAATCTAATATAAAAGATTGATTTTTTTCACGTGACACGAAAGCCATCAAACGCCAATGGGCCTCAGAAGTTACAGCCTTTTCGTCACAGCACAACACAGCCGGGTAAAATCCTTATAAGTCTGTTTAGTTTCTAATTTCTGATGTAATTTATATGTTTAATCTTATGAATTTTTTCAATTTCAATATCCTATTCATAGTTTTTGCATTTTTTACAGATACTCAGCAAAACAGATGTTGGGAAAACCCAATGTTTATCCTCGCTATGGTGATTTCCCAGGGACATGGACACAGGCAACTGGACAACTAAATGAGAACCAGTTTATACAGGTACAATGTCATTTCAAGAAATAAGTTAACAATGACAAAGTTAATCATGTGATTGTTATTCTTTTCACCGAATATTGTTCCTTCCTTAATCAAAAGCCATATGCAGATTTAAAAAAAAATGTTTTATGTACCGTGATAAATAAGGATGGTCAACCCACAGGTGAAAGATTACTTACCGGGCAGAAAGCTCCTTTTGCAAATTCAAAGCTAATGATATATAAAAGCTAAGGTTGCAAAGTAATCTTTAAGGTATGATTTTGTTTTATTTCCAGGTCAGATTTCCAGAAAAGGTTTGGCTTACCAAGGTTGTTATATATGAAACGTATAATGCCGGAACTGTCAAGAGAATATTGGCGAAGAATAAAGAAAACCAGTGGGTTGAAATTTTTGACGTTTCCCCTGAACACACAATCGATTTGGCTAGGAAATTCTCCCCAATAATAAAAGTGAGTTTTTTTTAAATTGTATTTTCTGTTAAAATGTTTAGTAAAAATTCATTGTTTGTTTTAATAATTTCATAGTACACATGGCAATGATTTTTTTTCCTTCTTTGTTTTTTGACTTGTCTTAGGTGAAAAAAAACTTTTTGAAAATGCGTGAAAACTTACATATAGCTATATGATATAGAGCTGAAAATATAATGATTATTTTGTCTCCTTCACTATTCTAAGTCGGCATCGTTTTAGCAACGAATGATTTGTAGATCGTAAAACCGTAAATATTTAAATATTTCTTAATGAACTCTTAATTGATCCTCATTATATTCAGAAAGTGAATTTTCCTGTGAACGAGTTGAGAATAGAATTTGATTGTTCTATTTCTTCCTCTTGGGTAGAAATCGATGCAGTCGAAATCGTTGGAGGTATTTGGTTTAATCTAAATATTATATCTGTAATTGAAATTAATTTCATATTAAAATATATTTTATTCAGACATCATGAAAAGTAAAGAAGAATTTTGATCTGTGATTATTCTCCTAAATATTAATTAGAGGTTTGATAAAAAAAACGACATTAATTGTTTAAGTGATAAATTTAATTGCATGGTATAAAAACAACTTTATTAAAAATAAGGAAATAGTACATTAAAGAAGACAAAAGGATACGGATATTTAATTACATGAAGAAGCTTAGAAAAAGACTTAGAGAATTACGAAGAGACACCTACTGCATAATGGAAAAATGAAATTTAATCTGTTTTTCACTATATGTATTTAATGTGGAGTCTTTAAGCGCACCCTGTTTGAGATGTGTTTGGATTATATAATCTTGATTTATTTTATGTCCATGTTTTATCAGTCCCTTTTTTTCCTTTACAAAGGTGAATGCCCTGAACAGTTTAAAAAGATGTGGGATTCTTGTTATCTGATCAAGAAGGATAAGGTATCAGCAGACACAGCATTTGTAAGTAGAAAGGGATTGGGGAATGAATATATACAAATGATAGTAGGTAAATCATAATTACTTTTTCTTTTAAAAAATTATCATATAAAGGGTACATAACAAAAATTCGATACATGGATTGATATATGATTTTTGACTGATTTTGAATGGAAATGACATAAATAATCAATCCCTAAAATATAAAGAAATCGTAAGTTTTCTTTGGTGCATAGATAAACAACTTTGCATTGTTTTCTATGTAATTCTATACAAAATTTTGCACATATTTTTGACATTGTGACAAAATCTTACAAAAGTCTCCCAATTTCCCCAGAAAATATCATTCAGGCTACCTTTTTGAATATTAGTCTATGAGAAATATTTGCTGATTTCTGAAAAAAAGTTTGTTTGTGTTATTTATCCTTAATGTTGTTTTCTGGATTACATCCTATAGGCAAACTGTTTAGATGCCGGTGGTTATCTGGCCAACTTTGAAACAATAGAAGAAGCTTTGCAAATGAAAAAGATTTTGAAGAAAATGAACACAGGTACTAATTTAAATTTCATGGGTACCATTTTTTAAATTACTTATATTTCTTTTATTTCAAACTTCACCTTTATCTTTTTTTTATACAATCAGAGAATGACCTTTTCAATTCCATACTTATTTGACTTTAATGAAAAATTAAGATCTTCCTTTTACGTTGGGGGAAGAAACATAAACAGAAGAAAACCCGGGGGTGATTGGAGGTGGATCAAACATGGACAAATGACCAAAATGACGTATCATGCCTTTGGTATCGGACAGCCCAATGGATCTGATAAGGCTCCCCAGGACTGCATGTATTTTGATGTAGGAGAACGGTACACGTTCCACGATGTCTTCTGCGATAGTGATACACACCTTGGTGGCTATATCTGCGAAGCATGAAAATTGTCAAATTGATTATAATAAAAAATGAAAGAAATTCATTATTTGCGGAGTTTCTAAATTCTTTTGCACAAAAAGGAAAAGACATGCATCTAGTGCTCCTGGTGTACAAGGGGCAATTGTGTTCATGAGTGACATTCCGTCAGAAAAGTGTTTCTTAGGAATGACACCAGCACCCTTTCGCTTTTCTTCAATTTTTCATGTTATTGATTTTTTTCTTTTGATCTGTTTTCCGTCCCTCATATTAAAGCTGGAATAATTTACATTTCAAAAATGTGAATGTTAGACCTATGTTTCATTTAAATGGGGGTATGTTGAATTAAAAATTTGCTTATAAATCGTTTTTATATACACTATGAGTTTCTTCAGTTTTATAAAATATTGCATATCACTTTCAATAACACAAAATAATGCTTCGAGTAAGTCTCGTTTCTGTCTTTAAACTAATTTAACCAACGTTGAAATAAGTTAAGAGTCTAGATTCACGAGAGGATTAGGTATGGGGGTTTGGTGATTCGCTAGTTATTTGGTAATATAATCGTTTAAATCAATTTATCAGTCAATAATCAAATGAGACTGGAAATCGGAAAACAAGCAGTAAAATTCAACTTTGACACAAAATGTCAATAATTGTAAATCTTATTCACTTACTCTTTGTTTTGTGATTTCTGAACTTCATAAAATCTCTCAGTTATTGTATTATACACATGGGCTTCATGTACTTAGCTATTAAATAACTAAAAAAATTGTGTAAAAATCTAATCAAATGATAATATTATCATCCAAAAACATGTCTTACGATTTCTTGAGAGACTAACTTTACAATTTTTTATGAGTTAGAATTTTAGGTTTGCGATCGATGATTTGAATTAAATATTTTGTAAGATTTCATTTCAAATTAGAAAATTCTTGAGTCGAAAATACTCATAATTCAATTTTAAAAAAATCAGTTGACTCATATATACCTTTATCCAAAATATTTTCGATAAGATTTAGCATTGATAAAATAGGTGTAATCCTACTCTGAGAAAAAGAAATGGAACATCTGGCTCCAGTGTGAAATTTACCCATCAAGGGAAAGTCCTACTCTAGAGAACAGATTACGGTGGGAAAGCTGGCTCTGGGAAATTCTACTTGAAAACACCGGTAATTTTTTTAACTAGCTTATATTTCTGGAACAAAAATAAGCTTTTTAGGAAATCTTATTCTTGTACTTTTTGGTCGTCCATTAAAATCTACATTTTTGATAAAATATATATGTTTCTTACTCATTATCCAGAATCTTATCGCAAGAGGTGTTCTGGGTTTCGCAAATCTACCGTTAAGATTTGTCCTAAGACAGATCATTAGATGAAATATGAAAATTATGAACAGTATTCAGTCTCGAAAGTCCAGTGAAACGATACAAATTTGGAGTAGACCTCAAAATTTAGACCATCTTTAACATCTGACTTATGACAATCATAAGCTAAAGCTATGTCACTGCTATTTCACAAAACTATCTGGAGTGTAAAAAATCTTAAGACAAGTAATAGTACAAATTTCATACTTTTATATAACAAGGATTTTTTTTAAAATAAAAGTTTTCACTAGGTTTAGTCGCCTTTCTTAAATAAATTTCAATATTTAGTAGTGTGTCTTAAATAATTCTTTACTTGCTTTGAAAATACATTTTGTTGCACCAACTTCAATGTACTTGGGTGGAGGCTAAATTTCAATACATTTCATTACAAATGTTACATTAAAAATTTAGACTTTATCACGTTAAACTGGTCTTAAACAGTTTAGACTGTAAGTTATACTAGTACATAAGTTTAACTTGATAAAATCTAAACTTTTAATGTAACACAAAGACTGTGTGAGAAATGAAAGTACTAATAAATTTGCATAAATTTCTTTTGCTCAGAAAAATAAAGGTTGTTAAAAAATGTATAATGTGATACTAATTAGAATTAAATTCACTATTGCATTTATGCCTGTGCGAATAATCCAGTTGAAACATCAAAGTGTGTTCAAAGTACCACGGTGTCTCTGAAATGTCTTTACTGCTACTAAAATAACCCTGCTATCCAACAAAGTAGAGAAAAGAAAGAACAATTATCAATCAGAATTTAACAGTTGCGAATGCTTTGAAGAAGGAAACATGTAGCTTCAAATGTTACAGTAGTAATTACATGTATAATCGATTACATCAAGTTGGCCTTCTTACAGTAGCTATATTGAGTTTCCATACACATCTGGTAGATGAAAGTAGGAGGGGTGTACCTAAAGAACCAAAACTGTTTCATCTAATTCTCTGAAAAAAGTCATCAAAATTATTAAAATAAACTGAAAAGTCTTACAAATGTAGGGGGCTACAGAACTAATGTTCTTTTTTAACTTTAAAGGACGGGTCTTGTCCAAAGCATAAACCAGAAGTCTCTGACGAGACTGTAGTTCTACTGGTTGTTCTTATAAAGGAAGATAAAGATTAGCACTTAGACTTAAAACTTTGCAACAGCAATATATAGAATAATGATCCTTGGTTTAGTCTCTTTTTGTTGCAATGTTGCAAGATTTATTGCAATCAGACTAAAATGCTATGAATACAAAATTTGTTACGGACAGACAGACACACAGACGGACAGACAGACAGACAGACACACAAGGGTAAAACAGTACACCCCCCTCTCCTTCGGAGCGGGGGTATAATTATGTATCTCAGTCTAGTCTACTTGTATGCCACGTTATACTGAAATCAGACAAAAAGTGTAGGAGGAGTAGAGTTTTGAAAGTATTTCAATAAAATTTCTATTTTTATTAACCATGGCAACACTGTTCATCGAAATCCAAAACTGGTACAAAGAATTATGTATCTTAGTGTAGTCTACTTGTGTGGTAAGTTATACTGAAATCAGGCCAAAATGTAGGAGGAGGAGCATTTTGAAGGTATTTTAAGGAAATTTCTAATTTTAGTAACCATGGCAACACCGTTCATCGAAATCAAAAACCGATGCACAGAATTATGTATATTAGTATAGTCTACGAGTGTGCAAAGTTATACTGAAATCGGACCAAAACTGTAGGAGGAGTAGAGTTTTGAAAAATTGTTTACAGACGGACGGACAGACAGACAAACGGACGGACGACGGACACCTTACTATCGCATAAGCTCTTCTTGTCTCTGACCAGTAGAGCTAAAATCTCGCAAATACTTCAAATTTTTATCGATTCAAAATTAATTTACATAATATATCCATAAATCTAATTGCGTTAGCCATTTTACAAAATGCATACGTATGAAACGAGAATTAGCAATGCTTTTCTCATAGAAAATATAACATTCCAGTGAAAAATTGAGCTTTGTGAATAAATTTAAAATTATATGATGTTAAAGTAAGTTATAAATGATATCTGGATCTTACATAAACATGTACAGGCCCGTAAGAAGAATTTTGGTTGGGGGGGGGGTGCACATCCAAGCACTTTCAATTGCGAGGGGCACTCAACCACACAAAAATTCCTTGCAAAGCAAATGAATAATGGGGCACAACCATAAAGTAGCTATGTTTTTTTTTTTATCGTACAGTATCTACTGGTAAAATCATTGGTGGTGGAAGGGTGATGGGGCATAGTTCCTATGGCCCTGATTTAGTCCGAAGTATTGTTTTATATTTGAGTACCGCTTTTTCTTCTAAAAACCTTCTGAGCCGAAAAATATACTATTGCCATGTTCAGACATGTATCTAGTTGTCTTAAGATAAAGATTAAGATAGATCTCAAGATTTAGTTTTGTCGACCAGTTATGGTGCAATCTTACGATAAATTTCGGTCTTAAGACAGATCTTAGTCATGAGATGGTTTTGTTTATCTCCGTAAAAGTTCAAATGCAGAAAACGACATAGAGACTTCGATGTCTTCTGCATGAGACCATTTAAGTTGTATATTTGATACTTTAAAAATATGTAATATTTTAAAAATGTTTAAGAAAAGGAAATATGCTATGAATACTTCCTACTACTTAAAAAATTAAGAATATCAGTTGTGACGGAATATTAAATTTATCATGATATGTGGTAGTTGTACTTTTTATCTTTTATGATATTTATTTTAATTAAATTGTGTTTATTATTCTCATTTATTATCTTATTCATCTAGGTATTCACTTATTCATCAAGCCTTGCGAAATGATGTACTAACACTTTATAATGTGTTTGTTCAGTGTATGTTTCCCAATCATGACAAGGAGCACACGGCGGCTGTGACCGGTCGGCAGGGGATGCTCACTCCTCCATGGCACCTGATCCCATCTCTGATGTTTTAGGGGTCCGTGCATGCTCTGCTCCTAATTTGTATTGTTTAACGGACTTTTGAGATTCAATACCGATTGTTATTACCATATATATCATTGTTATAAACCTAAACACCCCCTATTTTGTAAAATGTAAGACTCCTTATACTCTTCCATAAATGTGTATAATGGGTTATTCTATTATTTCACGTAACACTGATTTCTATTGGTCACTGTGGTTGAATGGTTTATAAGCTGGAATTGGCGGGAAGTATTTTGATAAATTTATTACTCTTAGAAACTGGTTTTGGAAAGGGTGTGAGGCGTAAGTCATGTAACCATTATGGAAGATAACCTGACCTTATTCATGTAAGTAAATTCAATAAATAATTACACCATTAAATAAGCACCTAAATAATTTCTTTAAGAATGAGGAATCTAAATAATTCACTTTAATCAAAACCTATAAAAAGGAGGGTGTGTGAAAGGTAATGAAAATATATGGGTATGCAAGAGTTATAACAGCAAGTTAACATTTTAATTTATTGAAGCATTCCAAAGAAGGGATTTTGTGAATTTGTTATATTACATTATTGTTAAGTAGGACATATTCATATCGGAGTTGAAAAGTTGTTCATAGCAATTCACAGTTCCACAAACTGATATGTGCTGATATGATAAAACAAATATGTCTATATCAGATTGAATAATGATAACACATGTACCTAATATTATGAAATATTTATATAAATT